GCGACAGTGACAGCACATTCAGCAGTCGCCAAACCAACTGGGAGAAATCTCCAGATCATATGTGCACTAAAGGACTTCTAATTAGCTGCTTCACAAACAGGTGACACTATAGAGGACAAAAATCATATTTCTTTCACGTTTTGGTTCTAAAGACCTCTTACCTTGATTAATACATTATCAAAGCTAGAAGGACTCATGACGTCGTAGCAGATCAAAACCACATGAGTGCTTTGGTACGAGAGTGGCCTTAAGCGATCGTAATCTTCTTGTCCTAAAAGGAAGAAATTACCAAATAAATTTAGGTGCGTTTTCTACGTGTGTTATGTATATCTGGCTGACTTCTTACTTGCTCTGATTTTTACAATAATGTGGCGCAGGAAAACTCCAAAATGGACAGTGTTTTCAATATGCCAAGCGAGATATGTTCTGATAATATTCCTAATTTCCACCACAGAGATTACCTAAACTTTTAGAGGAACACTTAACTTGGCTACCTTTGCATGAACTATTTTTTTTTTTTAAGCAGAATCAAGATGAATATTTACCTGCAGTATCATACAAATGTAAGACGACTTCTTTTTTCCCCACAATGACATTGGTTGTGTATTTTTCAAAGACCGAAGGGGCATATTGCTGTCCGGAAGTGGAAAATGAGTGTTATTAGTATACATTGTCAAGTTTCACAGCTCCTCCCAGGCATGTTTTACAACTTTATATTTCCCTTCTGCAGAAAATAGCCGCAAAACTTTCAAAATATTTTTAAGTGATGGCAACCACATGCATTTAAGCTGTTTTTAAAACTTTTTTTTAAAAAGCTGTCTTAAAACTCTCTTTAAGCTGTTTTAAAAAAAAAACTGTTAAAAATGTGTTTAGGGACTTTTTAAGGATAGCAGACTCAGCCACGACTGGATAGCTTGTATGTTTGGCTCCCATTCTAAGGAAGAGCAGCAGATAAATAAAAATATAGAAAACTGATGGGCAGCAAAAGAACTAGCTGTCCAATAATACTCAATAAATCCCAATGCCTGAAACAGCCATTATGTTGGACTAAGACTAAGATATATAGACCTTCACCAAGGCTAAGCCTTATTTATTTTTTTCTTGTGTTGAGCTGCATCTAGGATGTGGCACACCACAGCCCTCCAGATATCCTGCCCGACTTCTGCCTTTTGGTCCAGGAGTGTTTTCAAGTAGAACACACGTTGTGTGTGAATTTCTGCAATTGTTCAAGTAACAATCTTGGCAGATTCTGGACAAACCAGATTCTGCCGTGGATTTCAGTCTGAAATCCAGTGCTCAGCTCATTGAAACTAGCCTTGCGTTAACGGTCGTATCAAATTCAGATTTGCTATGGGGCCACATTGATCGCAGGAGCATTTACTGATGGGAGACAGCAAGTTGTCCTTACAGCTATGTGCAATAAAATGGAATCGCCTCTCTGAGGCCATCAAGGATGTGCAATCCCCTAACTTTTAAATCTGCGATAAGCGAAGCAGTAACGGGAAGTCCTTCGCTCATGCATCCTGTTGCCGTGCCGGCTACGTAGAGGTTGAGATGTTTCTTAAGATGAACCACCAAGGGGAACATTTCTGCCCCATTTTAGTCATTTCCACGACGTTTGCATGGGTCGTGCGTAGCGATAAAAGCCAGCCTTTTCGCTTCGCTTCAAGCAATTTTGCCCATTCTCATCAAGCCAGTAAATATGAGGGCGGCTTGCTCTTTGCCTAAACAGGGGACAAAGATGGAACCCCTCAAAATGAGACTCTTATTCTTTCCTTTTTTAAAAAAATAAAAAAGAAATTGAGGCTTTATTTCCTGTCTTTTTAAATGTATTTATGTATATAGGCCTTTGTTGTTTATTTTGATGGGGAGTCAAGACAATGTTGCCATCTCCACAGCATTGAACCCTGCCTTGGGTTGACGCAGGCGGCCACACTATCAAGCCCATCATCCCCAGCTGTGTCAGTCTCGCACATCTGGGCTGATTTTATGCCCGCTACTGGCCAAGAATCTCCTCCTGAGGGGAATATCGCCTGAGGAAGGCGCTACAAATGGCACCTTTGCCAAAATCAGGGACCCTCCACACAGGTTGTCAGAATGAGGGGATTCTGGGATCCGCCATGAGGAGGGGGAGAGCCTCTTTCTGAGAGACCCCACACTCTCAATAGAGGGAAATGCCGCCTTTTTTTTTTCCCCCTCAGGGGATTCCAGGAGCCTCCCCTGAAGGAAGCTTCCAGGCCTTCTAGAAGCTTCCCGCGCGGCGATTCGGGAATGGGGACGCTTCCCGCGCGGCGCGAGCTGAGGAGGGGGCCGAGCGAGCCCTGATTGGCTGAGAGGGTCTATAAAAGCCGGGCGCTCACCTCGGGGAAAGCGCCTTTGGCGTGCACCAAAAGGAGCGAAGTCTTCCCGCAGCCGCCGTCGCCCACCACCACCGCTTTCAGCTCCGTCTTCGAGCCCTTCCTCGGGTCGCTGGCTTCCCGGCTGCCGGGTCCCGAGCTGTTCCTCTCGGCCATGGACCACCGTCGCTGCCGCCGCCTCCTCGAAAAGAGCTGCTCCTCGGGCGAGAGTGGAAGAAAGGCGGCGGCGGGCGAGGCCTCGCCTCCTTCCTCTCCGCTGCGGCTTCGCAAGGCGGCGAGTCTCCGCCGCCAGTTCCCCTATAAAGCGGCGAGGGAGGGTCGAAGCCGCCTTGGCCCCTCTTGCATCGACTCAACCCGGGGCGTGGAAGAAGATTTGTTCCCCGGCCTGGGCGCTTGGATACCCCCAACGCGGGTTCTCTCTTTCCCCGGGTGGTCGGGGATGGATCATTTTAGGTGCTGGCTTAGGAAGCAGGAGGCTGCCAGTTCTGCTTGAGGCAGGAAAACCAGCCCACTTTGAAGGGTTGTTGTGGGGAAAATGAGCAAGGGGGCATTAGACATGATGGCCGCCTTGGGTTACTAATAAGATAATCTAAAATGAGGTTCTTCAACTGGGTGCCCTCCAATTTACATCAAAGAGGTTGCATGGGTTCCTGCAATTTGGGTTGTACACACACACACACACACAATACCACTGTATTGCATTATATTGTGGCCACCTAGTTGGGGCTGATGGGCATTGTAATCCTGGCTCGGCGAACACAGCCCCAATTGGGTTGAGGACGTTACAGGTAGTCCTTGACTTAAAATTACAGCTAAGCCCAAAATTTGTGTTGCTAGGGCTCGAATTTGGCCCCGTTTTACAACTTGCCACATTTGTTAAGTGACTGCAGCTAGTAACAGAGTTCTTAAGTGTGTGAATCTGTCACTAAAG